GCTCTGCACAATAACAAAGGAAGGGGGTAGCCCAGGGAAGCAAGGAAAGGCCAGACCCTTGGGCTGCCAACTTTCCAGGGATCCCCCAAATAGGGAGATTCGGCCAGAGGGGTCTCAGTGTCCCTCTAAAAAGGCAGTGACAATTCAGTGAGTGGCGGCAGTGAACTTAAGGAGTGAGATACGCCCATGGGATAAGGGTGGGAGGCGAACAGCTGAGTTGTAAACTGGAGCCCGTTTCGCCACAGTGGGCAACGAAGCTTGGTTCAAAGGAAGGAAACCCTTCTCAGGCTGTTGTAATTGGGGCCAGTCTGCAAAGGGTTGCCAGCTCCAGGTAGGGAGATTCCTGGAGATTTTCTGGTAGAGTCTATGGAAGCTAGGGTTTGGGGGAGAGGCCTCAGCTGAACAGAATGCCATAAAGCCCACCTTCCAAAGCAGTTATTTTTTTCGGGGGGGGGGAGATCTGTTGTCTGGAGTTCAGTTGTGATACCTGATGATCTTCAGGCTCCACCTGGAGGTTGGCTACCTTAGGCGTAGCCATCAGTGCTTCAGAGCAGGGTCTCTGAGATCCAGGTTCTTGCTGTAGAAGCTGAGTGGGTGATTTTGGACCAGTCACAGCCTTTCAGCCTAACCTACCTCACAGGATTGTTGTGCAAGTAAAAAGGGGGAGAGGAGAATGATATTACCTGCTTTGGTCCCCATTGCAGAGAAAGACTACTTTTCCTCCTGGGAAACTATTGTTGCCAATCTCCAGGTGAGGGCTGGAGATCACTCAGAATTACAACTGCTTTCCAGATGGCAGAGATCAGTTCCCCTGGAGAAAATGGTGGACTCTGTGTCCTTATATCCTGCTGAGATGCTCCCCCATGACAGCCAATGTGATGTGGCAATCAGGGCTTCAGAGTACAGTAGAGGCTGCAGGTGGGGGGATAGAAAGCTGAAGAGTGAGGGGGAAATAAAGTTAGTTCGATGATTGGCTGGGAAAGCGATAGGGTTGCCAACTCCAGGTGGGAAATTCCTGGAGATTTGAGAGATGTAGCCTGGATAGGGTGAGGTTTCAGGAGGGGTGGGACCTCTGACAGGTAGAATGCCATAGACTCCATCCTCCAAACCAGCCATTTCCTCTTGGGGAACCATTGTTGCCAATCTCCAGGTGGAGCCTGGAGATCACTCAGAATTACAACTGCTCTCCAGGAGGGAGGGGGGAGGAGATGGAAATCTGAAGTCAGAGGGACAGATAAAGGTAGGTTGATGGTTGGCTGGGAAGGAGATAGGGTTGCCAACTCCAGGTTGGGAAATTCCTGGATATTTGAGGGGTGGAGCCTGGAGAGGGTGGGGTTTGAGGAGGGGTGGAACCTCAGACAGGTAGAATGGCATAGACTCCACTCTCCAAACCAGCCATTTCCTCATAGGGAACCATTGTTGCCAATCTCCAGGTGAGAGCTGGAGATCACTCAAAATTACAACTGTTCTTCAGGTAGCAGAGATCAGTTCCTCTGGAGAAAATGGTGGACTCAGTGTCATTATACCCTGCTGAAGTCACCACAGCAAATTGACACTGAGTGCCCAAGGCCAGGGCACCCACCCAGAGCCTCTTTCTAGAGTTCGTTGTATTTATTTCCACAACGAGCCTTATTCCTAGTAAGACACTAAAGCAAAAGGTAGGAAACAATTGAAAACGGAGCATAGAATCTAGTGGCATTACATAACTGGTCACTCCAAATGTGTTTTGATTGACTGTCTTTTAATAAATGGGTTATTTGCTCATTTGTTCATTGAGAGTTCATGCTAGATAATGTCTCAGATTCAGTAGAACCATTCTGAAATAGGTCAATAGTCTTTCAAAAAATATTCAGTTATCAGCTTGTGTTAGAAGTTTCATCATGATTTTCATATCTGTCTTTTCAACAAGATTTGCCACTAGTGATGTTCAGAAAACTTTCCAGTCTGTTCAAGATAGTATAGTGTGCCAGACTACTCAAGCAATATTGTAAAGTAATTTTTTTAAACTTACAGAAATCATTTTCTTCATACAGAAATCATTTTCTTCAAACAGTAGGCTGAATACACCAGTTATGTTTCTCTGACAAAACAGGCTCTTCCACTGTGTAAGCATAATAGATCCATGGGATCTGACCCAATGGTTTTAATACAGTACTGTATAGACAAAGGAATCTCCTCACCTAGATCTTTAGCCTAGTTTTCATGTACAGATTGTCTGCTCTGCTAATAGTCTTATAAATTAGCTCTATAAATCCTCTTCCAGTCAATTGACAGAGATGCATTTCAATTTGAGTTAATTGACCATTTTGTAATAAAACATTCACTGAATGGCTCAACTAAGTACTGGAACAAATGTATGCTGTGCTGAAGTCTCTTAATTCTAACCATGAAAAATCTCCACATCTGTAAGATCTTCTAATGAAAACTGTCTTCTCTTTTCTCCCAAGAAAACCCATCCTTTACACTGTGATACCAGTCCTCTGTTAATAGTTGTATATAGAGAACGCCCTAACTATAATATTTACTTATTTAAATCATTTTGTGCCACATATGGCTGTTGAAAAGCATGGGGGCAAGATGGAACCTTGCAAAACCCCAGAGGCCGACAGGCAAAGCGGGAGTCCAACAGCACCGCACTCTGAAGCCTACCTTTGAAATAGAACTAGAAAAGTCATACCACCTTCAAGTGATGATAAAGCAGTTAAAGAAATATTTACCCCTAAATTATTTACAGCTACTAGGATATTCATCAGACCAAACAACTTCAGGAAGTATATTAATCTTTATAAATTACATTTTACTTGTCCATGATTGCTGTCATTTAGACTGTTTGTCCAGATCTCTGGTTATAAAATTAACTTTACAGTGGTTAAGATACAGCGTCTTGACTACATTTTCCAACCAGTTTCCCAAATATTTACCTACTGCATTTGTCTACAGAATCTGATTTTGCCCGTTCAGTTTTAACCATAATATTAATCCTAATCCAATGTGATTTCAGATTTTTAAATATTCTGAGACCTTTTGAAACACTGTAATGTTTAAAGTACAGTATAGGAGTGCCTGTATTATATAAAGTTAGTGCTACGTCATTAGCAAACAAATCATGTTTATACTCCTGTCTCCTATTTCCATGTCTGTAATAATAAAGTCTTCCAACTTTAATAGGCAGATGTTCTCTACACAGAATAAGCAGAAAAGCAGACAAGGGACAACCTAGTCTGGTGTATTACATAAAGTCACCTGTGATGGGTCTGAACACTTTCTCTGGCTAGTTGCCTTTTGTAAACAGTCTTAACCCATTCTGTAAATTCATCCCAGAAACTGACCGAGTAGTACCTTAATGGGGGACCACTGGGGCTTCAAAAGCAAAAACAATGTACATAACAACTACAATAAGCTTTCATTACATTTAATTTAAAACTCTTAGGTCTGGCTGTTCACCTATATCCTTCCTTCAGTTTTTATATACTATCGGTGTAATCCTGAGAACACTTTCCTGGGAGTAATCGCCACTGAATAGATTTGAGTAGGATTCTTTGTAGAGGATTGTTCTCTATGTAAGTTTTGTTATGTGGATGACTGACCTGAAAAGTCTTTCCTTGTATTTAAAAAACAACAGCAAATAGTTGAGTTGAAATGGAAGGACCCGTAGAAACTGTTGGTTCTGAACTTGGTTGTGAGTGCGGTTGTTTGCTTATCTAGCTCAAAAATGTCTACCCTTACTGGTGGTATTTCTTCAAGGACTGAACCTGGAATCTTTTGAATGCAAAACAAGTACTCAGCTACTGAGCCACCATCCTGGTTTAGTTTCTTGTTACTATGCTTTTCTCCTGTGGGAAATGGGAAAAATTACCTTTTATGACTGTCCACCTAGAAGCAATCAAACAATATAGAAAGATGGTTCTTCTGGTGTTATATAATCAAGGCTTCATTTACTAGTCATGTCTATTTGGAATCTAAACAACAATGGTAATATAATAATTCTGTTTCCAGATTGACCCCCAAGATTGGCTTCCCTTGGAGTGAGATTAGGAATATCTCTTTCAATGATAAGAAGTTTGTTATAAAACCTATTGACAAGAAAGCACCAGTAAGTATAACTGCTGACATTTTGAATTTAAACCAAACAATAGGGACCCCAAGCGTATTTAATGTATAAAGAAACAAAAATGCAAGGGAAGACCATCAACAAATATACAAATTTCACAAGTTGCCAGTAGACACAAGTCTATTGAAACATGGTAACATTGCATGGATTCCATTTGAGATATGAGCTGTGCCTAGACTATTGTGGAAATCTGGTTCCATTTTTCCGCCATGTAACTGAGGAAGAATGTTTTGAAACGTCTGGCATACCTGGGAAGGACGTCTTTCGGCTGCAGAAGTTTCTTTGATCTTTGGGACATCCTTTGTCTTGTTTATGGACTTTGAGGTCCTTTGGACACTATTTCATGAAAGGATTTGGAGGAGTCTCTTGTTGTTTATTACCATTATTGTGACCATTATCTTTGAATTGTGACCACCAATTTTACTTTATTTATTGATGTAATTTTACCATGTTTCTATAGACTTGTGTGTTCCCTCTAAGCTGAGTTAGTGTGAGCTAGCTCACAGTTTTTTAGCCTCTGGCTCACACATTTTCGTCTTAGCTCAGGAAGGATGGCTCCAGAGAAAACTAATTTATGCAGTAGCCAAATTGCTCGCTCACAACTTTAATGCCAGTAGCTCACAAAGTAGAATTTTTGCTCACAAGACTCCACAGCTTAGAGGGAGCATTATGTCTACTGCCAACGTGTGAAATTTGTATATTTGTTGATGGTCTACCCTTGCATTTCTTTAGACATTTTGATTTTAAAAAAAAGGAATGCTTAATGTCTTCATTACTAAATCTATGTACTGAATTGTGTACATCTTAGCCCTTGCAAAGGGAAACTTAGGCCGTTGAGGATATTTTTATTGAAATGTCAGCAAAGAAGACAGTGGGATGAAGTGGAATATTGTTTCCTTCCTTGTGTTTGTCAAACCTCTAATGACTGCTACAGACTTTATACTTTTAAAACAATTTCATCAGGCAAGTTGATAGATATAAGTATTTTGTTCTGTGCTGCTGACGGCCATCTGTATAAGTAAGAGGGTGGGATTGCTGTGGAAGAGCACTTGGGAGGTGTCCTTTAAGTGGGAACTGGGGTATAGCTGCCATGGCAGAATAGGATTATAGACCTCTCCCTTCTCTTTGTTTCCTCTTCACCATTAAAATCATACGCTTCTGTATTGTATTCTTTATCTTGCACAACGAGGTATGCTTCACATCTTATGGCTAAATCGTGAGCCTGGGAGATTCTTACACTCACATAACTCCCCTCGCACTTCACGCATTGCCAGTTAATTAGTTATCTCTGCTTTTGTGGCATGCTCTGGTTTGTCACTCCATCCACTCCACCAAACTGCACCTTGGGATTTGGTTTGAAGCCAGACATCAAATAGTGGTTTAATCCTGGTTTGGAGTCCTGATCTGAAGGGAAAGTGTGTATTTGGATATAAGGGTAAACTATGGTTTGTAACAAAACCAGGACCAAATCGTTAGCTTACTATAAGCAAGGAGTGTGTGATTCTGCAAGCTAATTTTTGTGTTATAGTCTAAGCCATGTCATTTATTCTTGGTGTTTGGTTCTTCATTGTAGAATAATGGATAAGTTATTGGTAACATGTGCTTACCTCAATTTTCACTTACAAAGAACTAAGAGCTCTCTACAAAAATTGGCAGATAAGAATGTTTAGAAGAAGCCCAGGTGTGTCTGAGTTTTGACTAGTTTGCATTTTTTTCTCCCCCCAGGATTTTGTGTTTTATGCTCCTCGTCTTAGAATTAACAAGAGGATCCTGCAGCTGTGCATGGGAAACCATGAATTGTATATGCGTCGTAGGAAACCTGACACCATTGAGGTCCAGCAGATGAAAGCCCAGGCCCGTGAAGAGAAGCACCAGAAACAGCTGGAAAGGTGAGGGGTGAAAGGGGGGGAATGGCTCGCTTGGATGTGGAGAAGCAGCTGGACCTAATATGTCTAATGTACATTGGAAGAGTTTGGAAGGGGTTGCTGGTTAAAGTAGAACGTTATCAAAACAAAACTATAAATGAAAATAACTCAGATGCCTTTTAGTTTGTTTCACAACATGTATATGTGACACACCCTGACCCTGCATAGCCCAATTTTGTAGTATCTCGGAAGCTAAACAGGGTCGGCCCTGGTTAGTATTTGGGCTGCTATGCAGTGTCAGGCAATGGCAAAAACCACCTCTGAATGTCTCTTACCTTGAAAACCCTATTGGGTAACTGTGAATCGGTTGTGACACAGAGCAGTGAAGATGTGGCATATAAATTGCATGAGACCACAACAGTGATCTGACAGATCTAGTACCTTCTGTCCCAGAATGGCCATAGCCAGATGCTTAAGAGAATCTTGTAAGAAATCCTGCCACTTCTATGGTATATAACCAGGGGGTTGTATATGTGAACTAAATTGCTGTGTATGACTCACCACCAGTTTGCTGTGAACAATGTAGCTTGTTTTATTTCAGTAGCTTTACATTGCTGTGCATGCTGAGGGTGAGATTAATGGGCATCATATGGACAACCTGGTGAGAGGGCTGAGTTGGTTGACTTGCGCACCTTTTTGTTACATGTTCTGGGTTACACATCAAAGCTTAGGGTGCTTAAATGTTTCTGTCTTCCTGAATCACTGGAAACACAGCCACTGCCACTGCATGCAGTATTGCCAGTTTAAAGGCATATCCTGGCTACCGTGCTTCCAGCAGCCTTCTGCCTCAGTCACAGTTGGGTGCTGCACATGCCTTGAAAATTGCTACTGTTCCAGAACCTTCTCTTCTCCCTTCCCCAGCCCAGTCATGGTTTTAAGTGGAGTAAACAAATGTGTAATTTGGATTTTTAAATGTTACGTCCTAAAAGGCAACAATTAGAAAATGAAAAAAAGAAGAGAGAGACTATTGAGAAGGAAAAAGAGCAGATGTTAAGGGAGAAAGAAGAGCTAATAGTGAGACTGCAAGAGTATGAACGGAAGACACAGAAAGCAGAAAAAGGTATGACTTGGGCTCATGCAACTGGGCCCAACTATATCATTTCCACTCTGTTATGCTTGGACATCCAGCCTAACAATGCATTTATAGCTCTTTTAAAAAGTACTGCTTTGGTTTTTCATGGGCTGTCCTGTCAATTAGAAGTATGTCAGCATAGAAATATGAATGCAGGGGGTAAGGTTTTAATAGCATCACCTTCTTAATCTTTGGCTTGGTTATAGCCCATGCGTTTTCTGTAAAATGCAAGTTGCATTGCCACCACTAGTACTACATGCAGAATGAGTGAGCTAAACAATTTCATAAAAGAGCCTTTATGTTTTCCATCAACTCTCCTACCTAGCAGACAGACTTCATTAATCAAATTAATGTACCCCCAAACTATATCAGGGCCTCAGAAATTATACACAGGAAAGCTGCATTTGAAAAATCAATGCAAAGTCCAGTATCTGACACTGCTGCTGCACAGTTTGGAAGATATCAGCCTCCTGTTTGAATTTCTTGGCTGACAGATATTCACTATGGCTCAACTACACTATGTTCTCAATTTCCCCAGCAGAACAGCAGTGAAATTTGAAATGCTGCTGCCATATTTCTTTTACACCTAGTTTTGATGAGCCACTATCTGTGGATTAGGTCAGAAGGGAGTATCATTCCACTGTTCTCCCTTAAAGCGGTACCATTCTAACGCTTTAGAATCAACAACTTTTCTATCATAGACAGCCCTGACCTGGATAGCCCAAGCAAGCCTGATCTTGGAAGCTAAGCAGGGCCGACCCTGGCAAGGACTTGGAAGGAAGTTTTCCAAGGAATACCAGGGCTGGGACGCAGAGGCAGGCAACAGCAAGCCACCTCTCTGAAACATCCAAGCCCCACTAAGGATCACCAGAAGTCAACCATGACTTCCAGGCACACACACACAATACTACTAAAACACAACTTTTGTGTAGAGGACTATAAAAGGCATTATTATTACTATTAGAAGACCCTTTGGCTGAGTGTTAGTTTTATTCTGGATGAGGGTGGCTTATTGAATTTTTTTGGAGACTGTGTTTTGCTTTTGGGGAAAAGCTGTGTGGATATAATTAAATGAATATAAAGATGTAACTATTTAGCTTCCAAAAAGAATGTCTTGCCATATGACAAGCAAGCCCAGAATGCACTGAGGCAACCCTCTCTCCCTTCCTTATCATGTTATACATCAGTATAACATGATAAGGAAGGGAGGTCCTGGGCCTGAGTCGGATCGGTTCGGGGTTGGGGCTCCCTCTCCCAACCTTCAACGGGGCGCCTTTGGTGCCAGCGGCGGAAGTTAGGAGTTTGGGTGTGCTCCTGGACTCCTCCTTAACAATGGAGGCCCAGGTGGCAGGCACTGCCAAGTCGGCCTTTTACCATCTTCGGCTGGTGCAGCAGTTGGTTCCTTTCCTCGACCGAGATGACCTGGCTACAGTGATCCATGCGACGGTCACCTCGAGGCTAGACTGCTGTAACGCTCTCTACATGGGGCTGCCTTTGTCGCAAATTCGGAAGCTGCAGCTAGTGCAGAATGCTGGGGCCAGGCTGCTGATGGGTCTCACTAGACGGGATCACATCCGGCCTGTGCTGAAAGCGCTGCACTGGCTGCCAATGGCATACCGGATTCGCTTCAAAGTGTTGGTTTTAACCTTTAAAGCCCTATATGGTCAGGGTCTGGCTTACCTTAGGGACTGCCTCTCCCCGCATGTTCCTCCAAGGGCACTATGGTCGGGGAACCAAAATCTCCTGGATATTCCAGGCCCCAGACACATCAAACTCATGGTTACCAGGGCTAGGGTGTTTTCGGTGGCAGCTCCTACCTGGTGGAATGGGCTCCCAGAGTAGATCTGGGCCCTGTGGGACTTGGTGCAGTTCCGCAGGGCCTGTAAAATGGAGCTCTTCCGCCAGGCCATTGAGTAGGAGCTGCCGCCACCATCATTATGCTACCATCATTATGTCACCATTGTGACCATCATTTCATCTACGCCCCCCCCTCTTTATTCCCGCAAATTGACCATCTTCAGAGTGGGTACGATTGGGGGGGTGCGAGATGTTCCTGGCAGAGGACAACGCTGTAGGGATGTATATTGTTGCTGTTATATATTGTTATTACTGCTGGTTGTTGTTTTTAGTATAAATTTTTATAGAACCCCATCTTGAATTTTATAGTTAAATACTTTTGGAGCACCGTAAGAAATTTTTAGTGAACTGTATTTATTGTATTTTATATTTTCTGTATTGTTTTAGTGTTTTAACTTGGGCATTCATGCCCCTTGTGAGCCGCCCTGAGCCTTCGGGGAGGGCGGGATACAAATCCAAAGATAAATTTAAAAAAATAAACTCTTTTAAAACTGGTATTTTACCACAAAAGAAAAGGACAAAGGTTCATTGTGCTTGTGTATATTATTTCTCTCTTTGCAGAGCTGTCTGACCAAATCCAAAAAGCCTTGCTGCTTGAGGAGGAGAGGAAAAGGGCTCAGGAGGAATCTGAACGTCTAGAGAATGAGCGTTTGGCTGCTCTGCAAGCTAAGGAAGAACTTGAGAGGCAAGCTGCTGACCAGATGAAGAGCCAGGAGCAGCTGGTATGAACTGAAGAGATTTTGGAGATAAACTTGGGAAACAAATATACCTCCATGCTACATCACGGGGCAGGAAGAAATTATTGGTCTGACCAGTTCTAGCCTTTATGGTGTAGTTATTGGAAACAGATTGAACCTGCATAAACTTAAATGGGGAAGGAGAACATAAACCATAGGGGATTGCACAAATTTGTGTTTCTGAAGTTTATGAATGAGAATTGGAGGGGGAATCAAAAGTGCTAATAAGACTCCCCCTTGTCAAACAGGCTACAGAACTTGCAGAGTACACAGCAAGGATTGCACTTCTGGAAGAGGCAAGAAAACGCAAAGAGGGTGAAGTTGAAGAATGGCAGCACAGGGTAAGAATCAAGTTTCTCTAGGGTTGTAGATCTGCCTGTCTTGTTCAAAGACTTAGCAGCCTCTGGCCTTTGCAAATGCAACCATGGATCACAATATCCTTTAGAATAGTAGTTTTTACTCCTCTTGTGGCCCTACACATAACCGTGATGGGGAATGGAGGGCACTGCCTGTGAATGGAGCTACACATTGTGATTGTAGACCAACTGATATTGCAGTCTGGTGAGATGACATTAGACTGATATGGGTGGGACTGCTGTTTGCTTCCTGACACTTAGCATGTACATGCATAGTCATTTGTAAGTAGCTAAATGCTTGAAATTGTGCTAAATAAAATCATGCTTATGTAATTGGTAATTCAAGCATTATAAACAACCTCCTTGCATAGAAAAATACACTTGAATACCATGTTTTTATTTAGCAAAACAATCTATTTATATGATGTCAAAGGCTTTCACAGCCAGAGTCCATTAGTCGTTGTAGATTTTCCGGGCTGTATGGCTATGGTCTTGGCACTGTAGTACCTGACGTTTCGCCAGCAGCTGTGACTGGCATCCTCAGAGGCATAACACAGAAAGATGGAATACTCTCTGTGACACACACAGCCCGGAAAATCTACAAATATTAATCTGTTTATAGCTTCCTGTCTTCTGTGTGTTCCTACTCAGGAGTACAAGTATGTTCATACTGTAGGAATTTGCTTCCTGGTTCCACTTTTACAGGCTAAAGAAGCCCAAGAAGATCTTGTAAAAACAAAAGAGGAGCTACACTTGGTGATGACTGCTCCACCCCCTCCTCCCCCACCAGTGTACGAGCCAGTGAACTATCATGTCCATGATAATCTTCAAGATGAAGGAACGGAGTCATCTGGATACAGTGCAGAATTCTCAAGTGAAGGCATATTAGATGATCGCAATGAAGAAAAGCGTATTACTGAAGCTGAAAAGAATGAGCGTGTTCAAAGGCAGCTGAAGGTTTGTGTTCTCAGCAACAACTATGCTGTCAGGGCTATCATGGGTAGCTGGCCATACAGATGCACTGAATTATCCATGTTTTCAGATACTCAGAAATGTGTCCTAAGTCAGGAGAAAGCCACACATTTTAAAATACTTTAAAATTTTAAACCCCATTAATCCTCCAAAAAGTTTAGAGTAAGCTTAGAGAAGGGTAGTTCAAACAGAAAAATCAGTTATCTGGTTTCACTGTTGCTTGACTTCTCTTTCCTTCTACATAGGCTACTCCTAAGGTGTCTAGTTCTTGGCTTTAAAAAAAAAAAGGTTTCTTATTTTTGCTGCAATAGAAAGGTAGTGCTTGGGTTTGAAAATTTCAGGAATATTTAAAGTGAACTTAAACTGGTTATCCAGATTTTCTCTCTGAAAATCTTTGCAATGGTGTTCCTTGCTGTGGACTGGAGAGGGCTAACTGGAATGAGTAAAACAACAGAGGTTTTTAGATGTTTTCAGTCTCTATTACTACAAGCTGAACTTCCCTGTGTAAGTAGAAAGCTCAATCCCTAGTTTTAAGAGTGTTCAAACTCCCAGGATTCCATGTTTGCACGTTCAGCCCTATTAATCTATATACTAATAGCGAAGACGCCCCTTTGCATGCGGATACTTATTTCCGCGCATCGGGGGCACCTGGGGGGGAGGGAAATTTTCGTGCACACTTGGGGCAGTCTTGGGGCAGGTGTGCACAAAAATCTGAAAAGTTGGAAAAAATATCGGGGGGATTCTTAAATCCCCCCAAAAGTAACAGAGTGTCCACTGCGCGTGCGCAGGGAACGCTCTTGGAACAGCTTCGGCAGCGGCAACAAGAGGGGAGGGGAAGGCTTGGCCAACCGGTGAGGCCTCGCTGCCGCGACCGCTGCCGGCTGGGAAGGAAGGTAAAAGTTGGGCGGGCCGATGAGGCCTT